GCGACAGCAGGGACCCCCGGGTGCTGGCCGTCCGGGGGGGGGGGGGGGAGGAGTACGGTAGGGGGGAGGCAGCGTCCGATGCACGGGATGGGCGAGGGCGGGGGGAGGGGGGGGGGGCGGGGCGGGAGTCTAGACTGGTGGAGAGGGCCACAGGCAGGGCAAAGGGCACAGCCAAAAGGGATGAGCGGGGCGCGGGGAGGAGGAGCCAGCTGGGACGAATCAGTCTGGGGCTGGAGCAGGCTGCCGGGGTGACTCTCAAAAGGGCAGCGTCCGATGGCGCAGGCTGTGTCATGGCGACTGCCAGCCGCAGGGGGCCTGGCTGACGCATGGGCACCGGGCCGCGTGTATGACCCCGAGGGCGAGCCTCTCGTGCGCGCGATCGGGCGTCGGCCAACACCGTAGCAGGCAGCGGCATCCATCTGGCGCGTTCCGCCAAACAATGGTCCCGGCCAAAGGTGCAAGGGTGCAACGGCCGACGGGGGTGCCTTGAGCGAGGCCTCGGACGGGTCTGCGAACGAGGTAGACGTGTATGCACATATGGATGTGTGTGCGTGTGCGTGTGCGTGTGCGTGTGCAGCCGCGAGCAGGCGCGGGCCTGTGTGTACAGATGTGCCGTCTGTACATGCATACCTGCGCCCCCTCACCTAGCGATGATGCGGCAGGGGAAGTGGGCCATCTCCGAGGTTTATCCCACGTGCGGAAGGTGCCAACGAAGGTCCCTGCGCAGATGCCCCCGGATCAAGCGATCTCGGTAGCGGAGGGGGCGGGGGAACAGAAACAAGGGCAAGGCAAAAGCAGCAGCCAGCCCGGCGGTTGAGGGGGACTTTTCGGGGGGGAGAGGGAATTTCCCAAGCACGGGCTCCCCACCTAGCCACTCTTTTACCCCCACCCTGCGACCCTTTCCCCCCCCCCCCCCCTCCCGCTGCCCCTTGGGTGTTTCCTGCCCCGCCGCCGGGGTTTTCTGGCCCTCCATCCTCCTCCCCTTTTCCCCCCCCTTACCCGAAGGTCCGACAGTCTACACCATGTCCAGTGCCAGTGAGGATGTTCTCCTGGCCGAGCTTTCCACCAGTGAAGACGATGTTCCGGTCCAGCCGGTTTGCGCTACCTGCCCTCTGTGCCATGGCAGCGGGACGGTCCTGCTGACCTCGCTGCCGGACTCACTGGCCGAGTCGCCAGACCTCTACTCCATCCAAACGACGACCGATGTGGCGCGGCTGTTTGACGGACCGGTGTCACCGACACCCACTCCGCTGACTGCGCCAGCGGCCGGTGCCATCCCCTCTTCTTCCTCGCCCTCCTCGTCGCCTGGGCTGCGCACAGTCAGCGGGAAACCCCTGGACCCGGACGGGCTGGATGATGAGCCCCTCATGCCCGCACTGGAGGGTGACTCGAAGGTCACTCCGCGGTCCATTTTCCAGCTTTTCCTCTCCGGCCTTTACCATGGGATTCCGGCCTCGGTGGCCCTGATCACCTCGGGCTTGCTCTTGCGCTTCTCGAAACACCTGCTCGCCAAGTGGCGGTGAGAGGCCGCACAGGCCGGGCTGTTGAAATAGAGAGGGAGCCCTGTTTGTGTGTGACCCTGTCACTGCTGTCTGTCTGCCTGCCTTTCTTCCCTCGCATCCTGCTCCTCCTGTGGCCGGTGCATGGGATCCCCGTCGGGCGGGTGATTTTGAGGACTTTTTATTTTTCAGGCCCTGACAAAGGGCGTTGGAACAAGGGCAATATGAGGATATGTCGGTGGGTGGGTGGGTGGGTGGGCGTGCGGGTCGATGTATGTGTTGCATGCCAACGAGGAGGAGGGCTCCCAGTAGGGCGTCGCCTGGTCAATTGTTGGTCACCAGAGAGACCTCCAGACGGTTGCCTGGGAGGGGAGACAAGGCGAGAAAGAGAGAAGGAGAGAAAGAGAGAGAAAGAGAGAGAAAGAGAGAGAGAGAAGGGGAGAAAGAGAGAAGGGGAGAAAAAGAGAAGGGGAGAAAGAGAGAAAGAGAGAAAGAGAGAAAGAGAGAAAGAGAGAAAGAGAGAAAGAGAGAAAGAGAGAAAGAGAGAGAAAGAGAGAGAAAGAGAGAGAAAGAGAGAGAAAGAGAGAAAGAGAGAAAGAGAGAGACAACAGGGCGGAAGATGGCAAGCACAGAGTTGCATGGTGTGAGTGGGCACCCGAGGAAGGCAGTTCGAAAGGGCCGTTGCAGGCGGTGAAAGCGAAAGACGGGCAAAAGCCATCACGTACCGTCAACATTGAGACCATCATAGTCCTTGATAAACTGGAGAGCCTGGTTGCGAAGGGCGAAGCGAACCCGAACAGCGGTGCGCTGGTCGTTGTACTCAACACCAAGCGACTCAATGCCCGAGAGGAGCTCCTACATGTGGCATCACGGGGGGGAGGGGGCGGGGAGAGAGTGGGTGAGGATCTTTGGCTTGCATTGCCGGAGGAGGGCGCGGGCGAAGGAAGAAGCACAGCTGGCACGCACCTGGATGTTGCACTGGGGAACCAGGTTGCGAATCAGGAGGAGGGTGCCCTCATCCGTGGCGCGGGCAGGAGCCTACAGCACGAGCGAGGGGCAGGGCGAAAGAAGGGGAGGATGGGGGACGACAAAAGGGCGGAGGGGAAGAGGAGCACGCGAAAAGGGGGAGAGAGAAAGAGGAGGAACAGCAAGAGCGCAGCACGGTGTCAGTGGTACGAGGTGAAGCAGAAGCAGCAGCACATGAGGTGGGCCCCTCGGGCGGGGGAAGAGGACGGACCGAGATGTTCCCCGACAGACCGGCCTTCAGGGGCGAAACAACGGAGGGCAGGGAGGTGGTAACCTTCGGGGCGGGGGTCTTGCGCGTAGCACCGCCAGCTGTCTTGGCGGGACCGCCGGAGGTCTTGGCAACGACGTTGGGAGTGCTGCCGGCAGCGCCGCCAATTTGAATGCGACCGCGCAGGTCGCTTGGCAGGTTGGCCAAAAACTGCTTGGACTGTTGCTGCGCTGTCTTCTGCTTCTTCTGGGTCAGCTGCTGCTGCTGCTGCTGCTGAATCTTGGCCTTCTTGGCCTTCTTGGCGGTGCCGATGACCGGGCCGCCGGCGAGAGAAACACGCCCGGCCAGATTGGAGGAGACAACCGAGCGGAGCACCGGGATCGGCAGGCCGGGCATGGTAGTGCTGTTGAGCTGCTGGACGCGGCGCTTGCCGCCCCGCTTCTTGGACAGGTCAGAGGCGACCATTTGCTCGAAGCCATCGCGGCCCCAGCGGAGCGAGTCGACGCCCTTCTTGGAGCCAGCGGAGGACTGGACCTTGCTCCGGGTCATGGTGGGGGGAAGAGTGCGCGAGCGTGGGAGCGCGGGCAAGCGGAACGGGCGGAACGGGCGGAGCGGGTGGGGGCGAAGAGAGACGGCGGTGCCCAATGGGGTCGGGCAAGGGAAGCAAGAGGGGCGAGGCGGCGGGACGAGCGCGGGGAGGAGAGGCGGTGTGGCCAGCATGTGCGCCAGGGCGCGAAACAGTCCCGGCTCATCTGTCTGGGTTCGGGCGGGTGGGGGGTTGTCTCTAACGGCCCCCCGCCTGTGTGCCGGTCTCCACCTGATCCCTGCCCGCCCGCCCGCCCGCCCGCCCGCCCCCTGCGAGTGCCTGTGGCCGTGGCGTCAGCCCGCGGGGCGGCCCAACATACCCTTCTCGGCGCCTGGTGGCGTGGGGACACCCAAGGGGGGGGGGGGGGGGGGGGGAGTGCGCCTGGGCTTGTGCTGACGCTCCCGGTGGGGGACGGCGAACCGCCGCCGGACGACCCAGCGCCGCGCTCCGCGGGGATCCTGTTCGTTGGCCCAGGACTGCCGACGGAAGCGCCAAGACAACTCGTCAACACGCCCTTTGACACCCGCGCCGCGGTTTCCCGACCCTCTCCCTTTCTCTCGATGTGTGTGTGTGTGTGTGTTTGTGTGTGTGTGCATGTGTCTGTACGTGTGTGTTCGGGCGCGCGTCCCATTTTCTCCCTCGGGCTGGGCGCCCCCCGAGGATGGAAGGCTACAACCCCTCCCCGGTGTTGGGGGACGGTGGGGGTTAGCGTGTTCTGGCCGTTAGGGCGAGCTGGCGCAGGGGGGGGGGGGGGGCCGAGCGGCGGAAGAAAATAACAGAAGCATCGATCGAGGTGTGTTGACTCTCCCCCCCCCCCGGCCCCTCCCCCGTCCCGTCCCTTGGTCGGGCAGTCTCTCCGATCGCCGGACCACCACTCTGGGCTCACAGCCTTTGGGCGAGTTTCACCTTGCCCAAGGCCCGGGGCCCCCGGGGCGCCTCTGACCGAGGCCAACACGGTGTCGCCTCTCTCCGGTACGCCGGTCCGGATGTCGAGATCGTGCACCTAAAGGGCCAGACATGTGCCGACCAGGGACGCCTATTGACCGCCAGTGTTGCCTCTCCTTCCCCTCCTCCTACTTTGCACGGCTTTCGCGTCTCCCACTCTTCTTCGCGCCCTCGCCCCCTTCCTCTTGTCACATTCCCTCTCCGCCTGGCGCAATCCCGAGCATGTCCGAGCCCAACACCGGCGAGCCCTGCTCGAAGCCGCCTGCCGCCCTGTCCGACATCTCGGGCTTCGATGTGGACGACTTGCTCCTTGGTGCGTGATCCTCCGCCGGCTCCTTCTCCTGCCCTCGTCATGCCTGACTATTTGCCTGCGGCTTGCCCCTTCGTCCGGTCCAGGCGCCCTGGCCTCGGCCAACATCCAATCTTCAACCGTCGAGGAAGAGCCCCCGGTTGACACCGCTCCCAAGGAGGCCGCCCCTCCAGTCACCCTTGAGGACGCCATCCGTCAGTCGGCCAAGGAGCACTCCCAGGCTCATGATGCTGTGCGCCGCCTCCTTCCCTGCCGATGTCGCCCGTCCCCCACATCGCCTCCCACGCGTGCATGCACGCGCACTCCCCCCCCCCCCCCCCCCCCCCCCCCCACACACACCGGACGCCCTCCGACTCCGCCTACTTACCTGCTGCGCCCTGCTCATCCTCTCTGCCCTCCCTCTTCCTCTCTCTCTCTCTCCCCCCAGCTTCCGACCATGGCTGACTTGCATATGGACGACATGTTCGCCAGCTTCTCGGACACCATCGGCTCATCGATGACCAACTTCCTGGAGGCCATGATGGTTCAGATTGTTTCGCGGGAAGTGCTTTACGAGCCGATTCTCATGCTCGAGAACAACGTACGAGATCCGTCCTCCCCCCCCGGCCCTCACTTGCGCCCGCTCCGTGGCCATCTGGCCGTCCTTCTGACCGGCTGTCCTCTCCAACCTTCTCCCCTTGGCTCGGACCCCTTCCACTCAGTATCCCATCTGGCTCGCGGCCAACCGGCACACCCTGTCGCCGGAAGAGCAGAGCGTGTGCGACCAGCACATCGTCATCCTGCGGAAGATTCTCCTCACATATAACCCGGCCTTCCAGGCGACCTTGGCCCCGGGCGAATCGCCGGACGCCTGCCCCAAGCCGGACCCGGACATTCCGGCCAGCTGCGGCGACCCGGAAGCCCCCTTGACCTCGGTGCAGAAGACCAAGCTGCTGCAGTACATCCAAGACATCCAAGCGGTCGGAGCCATCCCGGTGGGCTTCCTCAATGAGGTGATGAGCGATTCGGACCGCGCGGAAATCGGTGCCATCTTTGCCGGCGCCAGCGGTCCGACCCCAGCAGCCCTGGAAGAGCTCCTGGCGGCTGAGGGTCCTGGGGGGAATCCCGGGGCCCGGGGCCCTGCGGCCAAGAGCACCGCCAGTGAGGGCCCCGGCCCGGATGGGGCAGCCCTGCTGGACCCGCTGCTGGGGGACATCAACAAGCTGCAGTCCCTGCTCGAGGATCTGAGCAAGGACGCGGGTCCCGAGCAGCCTGGCGGGCCGAATGACTGTGCGGTCATGTAGGCCGCCTCTCCGGTCCTCAGGTTCGAACAGTCATGCGCCCCGGAGGCAAGAGACATAGTGTGGGACAGGCAAGAAGAGCCTCATGGGCGCCAAGCCTTTGGGCCTCGCTCTCTCTCTCTCTCTCTCTCTCTCTCCTCTGCTTGCGTGCCTTTTTTTTATTGAAATAAATCCCGTCTGAAAGCAGCCTGCTGCATATGCCTTTTCGCAGGGGCATGCACGAGAGAGGCAAAGAAAAAGAGAGGACCAGAGGGAGAGAGAGAGAGAGGGGCGGGAAAGGCGGCAGACGACATGCAGGGCCCACTGTATATGCAATCTTGGCGCTCGCTTGATTGGGTGCCATCAGGGCCAGGAGGGGGCCTTCCCTGGCAGTTGATTGTGCCCGGATGCGCAGGCTCCCCAACCAACCTAAGAATGGATGGACGCGGGGGCATACATTTAGCACATGCATAAACCCTTGCGTCCACACACATGGAAAAAGATAAATGCACCCACAGACATCCACACACGTCCACCTCCATACATACATACATACATACACATGCTTATGCAGAGGGAGCGACAGGAGGCCAGGACACATGCACGCATGCAGCAGGCGGAGAGGGCCCAGAGCGGGAACACATGGAGGTGCGCCGTAAGGTCTATTCACGGGGAGAGCCCCAAAAGAGAGAGAGAGAGAGAGAGCACACATACTCAGGGCATGCTCTGGGGGGCTTGACGAGTGGCATTGCCTGGCCGGCGGAAAACAATCGGAGCATTCCTGCCATCGGGAGCACGACCGCGCGCCCCGGTCACCCCGGCTGCTGGGGGGAGATTCCGCACCCGCGGCATGGGGCCACTCATGGAGGACATCTGTCGGGGATTTGCCCGGCCTGCCAGGGCCGGCTGGTAGGTGACCGTGCCAGCGACATGGCCCGCCCGCGGGCCGCTGCTTCTGGTCGTGGTCTGGCCGCTCCGGGGCGTGGCTCTGGCGGTTCGTGTTGGAGGCTCTCCCAGCTGCACGCGTTGGAGGATCCGTTGAGCACGCTGGGCGTCTCGTTGGTTTCGGACCCCAGGCAGGGGCGGGGGCGTCCGGTGAAAGGGCAAGCTGTCGGACAAATGTGAAGAAGGCGGCGGGAGGAAGGAGAGCTCCGCCGGAGGCCGACGGATAGCCGGTCGTGAGGGCGAGGCATCCGGCTCCGGCGGAAGGGGCGGGGTCCGGATTGGCGAGGACGGCGGGGGCGAGGACACCCTCGCCGGCAGGGGTGGCGTCGACCGAGCAGTCGCTGGCCGTGGTGGCGGAGGAACCGGTGCCGGCGAGGGGGGGGCCCCGGTCGCCGGCTCCGATGGCCAGACCGGCTGGCTTCCGGCCCGGCCCGACGAGGGGGGTGCCACATCGCTGTCGCTGTCGCTGTCGCTGCTGTCGCTGAAGTCCGACGAAGAGCTGAAGCCCGACGAGGAGCCAAAGCCCGAGGAAGGGGATGATGGGAAGTAGTCGTCGGAATTTGAGCTGAAATGCGCATCAAGCAGTTGGGCCGCCGTCAAGACCGTTTCCGCCCGGCGGCGGGATGACCGCGTGGCCGGGGTCGGCCGGAGTGCCGAACGTGTGCTCGACCGGAGGACACGCACCGGCGGGGAGGAATCGGCTCCACCACCATGGCCAATGCCAATGTCAATGTCAATGTCTATGTCGTCATCCGACTCGATGGCCAGCTGGGCCGGCTGAACCGGCTGCACGGCCCCCTGCAATGAGGTCTGCCTTGCACTGGGCGTCTCGGGAAACATGCCAGTCCCGGACAATGAGGCCCGGAAAAGTGAGCCGGTTGGCTGGCCGGCGGTGGCCGAGGCCTGTGGCGGGTCGCGCGGGTCCATCGCCGGCTCCAAGAAAAGCTCCCCGGACAGAGGATGTCGCGACCAGGGCGCTCGCGAGGAGCGCCGGAGAAAGCCCGATACCACGGGCTCCCGACAAATCGGACAGCTGAGTCCGGCACCATCGTGCGGCCGGGCTTGGTGCTGTGGGAGTGGCCGCAAGGCGAAGGGTAAGCGGCGAGCCAGCTGGAGTGAGGGGCCCCATGAGCAGGGGCCAGGAGACAATGCGGGGTCCATCGAGAGGAAAGGGCGAGATGGGGAGGGGGGGCGGGAGGGGGCGGGAGAGACAGGGGAGGGACAGGGGAGGGACAGGAGAAGGATAGGGGAGGGCAAGATGCCACATGCACGCACGATGAACCAGGATCCAATGCAGGCTGCGTGAAACTGGTGGTCACAAAGCAGTCGGCAGGCAGCCGGAGTGATGGTGGCCAGGAGGAGGGGGGCAAAGAGAAGCCCGGTGTCGGCTGGCCCCGGGGGGCCGGATTCCGCCTCAGGGTCCGGCTCGGTGTCGGCGATGGCCTCAAAGCAGATGCAGCACGGGGGAGACTGGTTGACGAAGCGGCCAAACATGCTGTATATGCTCTGAGTGCGAACATCGGAGGATGGGGCGGTGAACGCGACATCAGCCGAATCCCCCTTGGCCGAGAGAGGACCTCGGTCGGAGGTCGGTTGGGACAGCAGCGAGGAGGTGGTGGGCGCCACGATGGCGGCGCCCGGTGGCCCGCCACCACGGCGGTCGGTCATGTTGCTGCTGTTGTTGCTGCTGCTGCTGCTGCTGCTGCTGCGGTTGCTGCTAGGGCCGGAGTCCAGGCAGCCGGGGCATCGGGGAGAAGGGGCAAGGGAAATGCAGGCGAGGGGGGAGGAAGGGCCAAGGGGGCGGCGGCGGCGGCAGTCCGTGAGAGGGGGATCTAACATTTGACCAGGCCTCGACGAGGGGCGCCATTCCACGGGGGCGAGCGAAAAAAGGTGTCCATCGATCTGCCCCGAAATACGCCCCAGGACAAGAGCAGGGGGCGGCCCTTTCCGGTAGTCGTGCCCTCGGCCCTTCCGCCCTCTGAGGCGGGAGTCCAAGAGATCGCCCCCCCCCCCGTTTCCCACAAGGAATCCCCCTCAAGCAAGTATCGGGCTCAGCATGCACCCCTGCACGCGGGGCAGTCCCCCCCTCCGAGAGCGCGGTAGCCAACCCCGCTCGGCCGCGACGGCTCAGTCGCACAGAAAGTATGCGACGCGGGGGGGGGGGGGGGGAGCGGCGCGACCGGGGATTGCCCAGTCCACCGTGCCACACATCTAGCACAGCTTCAGATCGGGGCGGGCTTGTTTTGTACGCACCACGTGATGGCATATCTCGATCACTTTGCCCGCCCTTTTTTCCCGCGCGCTGGGCGAGGCGGGCGAAGGAGGGGCGACGTGAGGCCTAGGGCCGCGAGTGGCGGGAGGGAAAGAAAGGGGAACGAGGGCGCACCGGGAGGGACATTGGTCAGGGGGCACCACCCGCGAACGAGCGACCGAGACCGGGCCAGATTGCACCCTATAACCCACATCACCCCCGCCTCCTGCCCGCCCGCCCGCCCGCCCGCCCCACACACACACACACACACTTTCTCTTCAGCTTTCCGCCTTGTCTATTCGGTGCCTCCCTGCTCTTGGCCATGACGGAAACCTGCTCCCAGGCTGACGGGACATCGCCTCGGCGCTGTCTGCTGGTCGGGCGCCCTGGGCCTCGGGGGCAGGATTTCATCCTCTGGCCGCCGGTGGACTTAGATCCACTGGACGGCCAGCTTTGTGGCTTGTCCCGGCATCTGGTGGCCGTGACACAGCTTCGCCCGGTGTCGGTGCTGGGCCATGCCGATGCGAATACGCTGGTGGTGGCCATCTGCCCGACGCAGGCGGCTCTGCTGGTGCGAGTGGGCGAGCATGTGGCCTTTACCCTGGTGCCTGCGGGGCTGCCCGATCATGGGGGCTTCTTGTCCCAATGCCTTCGCGTGGTGTGCCTCGAGGCCGACCCCGGCAGTCATCCTGCTGAGATGAACATCGAGCGGGCATTGCTCCAGTCTGTCAGGAATATGCTCTCGGGCAAGCCCTCCACCCTGACGATGCAACTGGCTCCGTATGATGTGTGCGTGATGTCCATGGCGATGCCGAGCCTCCACTGCCCAATGTCCCCCGTTGTTGCCCCGCCCCCCGCCCCCCGCCCCCCCCCCCCCTGGTGGGATGCTCCCCTGTGCCTCTGGCCTTTTCCGCTGACTATGGCAGCATTGTGCAGAGACCTGCAAGCCCTGCTGGCTGAGTGGTCCAGATCGTCGGGGGACGGGCACCTCGCGCAGCGGTGCAGCGCCCTCTGGGCACGCAATGAGCTCCACGCGCCGGTGCTTCCTCTGAACGCCCATCCGTTGCTGTATTTCGCTCGCAGTGAGGCAGCCTTGCCTGGGAGTCTGGGCGACGAGCGGAGTGCAGAACGCAAGAGGCTGCTTGAGCAGTTGGAGGTGCGCCGTGAGGTCGTGTGGGCCCTGGCCCGCATGTGTGCTGATGCACCGCTGCCTCGTTGGCCATCGGCATGTGTGGCCCTCGCTCTCGCTCGCCCTATCATGTGGCTGCTTTGCTGACGCTGCCTCTCATGTGCCGGGGCCTTTCCGTCGGCGTCTTTCCACCGCCCCCCGCTATACATGCTCTTGGGCAGGCCATCCCGTACGGGGATTTGGCGCGCGGATTTGCCGGGCTCCCGTGGGCCGAATTGGCCACACAGCCGGACGCCACGCTGGCCTCGGTGCTGACGGCCCCGCCTGCGGATGATGGACATCCCTTTTACCGCCAGGGCGCGGGGGCCGACGAGCAGCCCACCGCGCCGAGCCCCCTTCCCCCGGGGCTGGTCGTGGATTGGACCCATGTGTCGGACGTGGAATTGGCCCGAGCCATGGATGGCCAGTCGGATGGCGGGGAAGCCAGGGCCGCGGTCGCGGCTGACACCTTCGCCGACATCGCAAGCCTGGAGGCAATGGCCCTCTCGGCCCGGGATGAGGGGCACACTTCGACCGGGCAGGCCGCCTCGGATGGCCGACGCCAGTGCAGCGCCAGGGACCTGGCCGGATTGACGCGCCTCGGAAGCGCGGAGATCGCCAGCGGCCGGGTGGCCGTGGTCCTGCTGGCCGGCGGCCAGGGCACGCGCCTCGGCCATCGCGGCCCCAAGGGCACCTTCTCCCCGGCAGGGCTGCCCTCGGGGAAGTGCATCTTTCGCCGGCACGCCGAGCGCCTGCTGGCGGCCAGCAACCGGGCCCAGGTGGTGGCGCAAAGTGCGGCCCAGCCCTCGGGCCCCCTGTCGCGGCATTGCCGGTGGGTGGTGCTCACCAGCGCCGAGACGCACCACGATACCGAGGCCTACTTCGAGGCCGAGGACTTTTTCGGCTTGGATCGGGCTCTGGTGCGCTTCCTCACGCAAGCCAGCCTGCCGGCGGTCCATCTGCTGGATGGGACCTTCATCCTGGCCGAGCCCTACCGGCTGTCCACCGCCCCGAATGGCAATGGCGGGCTGTATGAGGCCCTCGCTCGGTCCGGGACGCTGGACTGGCTGGAGGCCGGGGGGGTCCGGCACCTGCAGATTTGCGGCGTGGATAACCTCCTCACGCGGGCCCCCTGCCCGGGGCTGGTGGGCATGGCGCTGGCCGGTGGCCTGCGCGTGGCATCGAAGGCGGTGCCGCGCGTGCGTCCAACCGAGGCGGTGGGTGTCTTTGCCGAGCGCCACGGCCGCTTCGGTGTGGTGGAGTACACCGAGCTCGGGGCTGACCTGGCCGGGGCGGTGGCCGACCCGGCCACCGGGCGCCTGGCCTTCGACTTGGCCAACATCGGCCACCAGTACATGCGCCTGGATGTGGTCCGGCATCTGGCCCGGCTGGGGGCCTTCCACATGCTGCCCTTTCACAAGGCGCAGAAGCGCATCGCCGGCCTGGCGCGGGCCGAGGCTGCCGGCCACCGGGCGGCCTCGCTGTGTGGCTTGAAGTTGGAACTCTTCATTTTCGACACCCTGCCCCTGGTGGGGACCGTCACTGCGGGCCGGGCCGGGGTGCAGTTGGTTCGCCGGGAGGCGGAATTTGCGCCGGTCAAAAATGCCGACGGGCCTGGGGCCGTCGACTGTCCGGCCACCGCGGCCGGGCTCCTGCTGGACCAGTGTACTGCCTGGCTGCGGGACTCCGGTGTCCAGGTGGATGGGTCCCTGCGTGCGGAGGTGGCCCCTAGGGTGTCTGTGGCTGGGGAGGGTCTAGGTGCCTTTGCTGGGCTTCGGCTTTCGGTGGAGCCTGGCCGCGACGCGGTTTTCATCGACTCGCGTGAGGGTCTGGCATCTCTGCTACAATGAGACAAGGCCTGGCTGCTGAGCAAGGCTGCTTGCCTCTTCCTTCGCGCATGCTTGTCGTGTCGAGATCCATTCACACGAATGGCACACGATCGCAGCGGGGGAGGGCCGCCAAGCTGCCGTGTGTGTGTGGGTGGGTGGGTGTGTCGATCTGGGGGAAATTCAGTCGCTCGTGCATGTTGTTTGTGCTCTTGTTTTTCCTTCTTCATTGTCCGAATACATCTGTGTCTGGCCACAACACATACATGCAGCCAATGTGAGGTGTGTATGGGTGTGGGTGGATGGCGTGGCGTGGCGCGACACAAAAATCGACTCCCCAGCCTCATCTCTGGGCGAGCGCATGACATATGCACGGATGCATCCATCCTGGCGGGCGGGCGGGCGGGCCGGCGGGCCGGTGTAAACACGGGCCGGTGTGCCGGCATGCCGCTTTGCCGATCGGGTTTGGGCGCGCGATGCATGGCGTGGCATGAGCATCGCATGAGAACGTGCCGGGCGAGGGAAAAGTTTGAAGAGAGCTTGAGAGGCGGCCCGAGAGATTCGAAGGGCCGGGGCCGGGGGATCGACGAGCCCCGGCGGGCCGGGGCAGGCGTTTGGGCCGGGTCTGCGTGGGGCCGTGTGAGTCGTCCCCCCCCCCCCCCCCTCCCACGCCGGAAGATGCATCGGAGCCCGCCCCGAGGGGGGCGACCGAGCCCAAGTGATTGAAGGGCCGTCTGGTGGCGGGCGAGGGGGTGGCAGGGGAGGGGGGGCGGGGGGCGATCTAGCCCGCCTTCGGGGCAACACTGGTGCCCCTGCTCGAAGTTGGCCTGTCTGCCGGGCTCTCTTACGGGGCTTTCGGGCCCGTCCGCAGGTGACCGGGCGGGCTAGGCAGGGCCGGGCCGGGGCTGCCGCTGGGGCCCGGCATATGCCCTGGGTCTGGTCATTATTCTTCCCCACAGAAACGCTGCCGCCGGCTCAACCAGTTGGCACTAGAGCCGATCGCACACGCCCTGTCCTGGCCCAAACAGGGAGAGCAGGGTCCCCGCCCCGGGGGGGGGGGGGGTGCTGCGGGGCGCGGGGGCGCTCCCGGTCGGTCCCGGCGCCAAGGGGGCCCGGGACGGCACGCCCCGTCGAGGCCAGCCCCATGCCAAGGCCGTGTGCGGGTTCCCCGGAAGCATACTCGCGTGTTGGGGAGGGACCTCGCAACAGGCGTCTTTTGGCCGAAGGGATTGGGGCGGACCGAATGGCTGGGGGCCGGGAGAGAATATTTGCAAGACATGCGCCAGTGTGTGTGTGCGTGTGTGTATCCCTGTTTAATATTCATGTTTGCACGGGTGTGTGTGTGTGTGTGTCGCTGCGGGTATCCCCCCCGATGCAGAGGGGCGTGATGGCCTCCGGGTGGAAAGATGGTGTTTTCCTCCGGAGGGGGGGCTATCTCTCCAGGGAGATAGCGCCCGCTGTTGAGCGACACCCGCAGACAGGGAGCCCGTCGCGGCGTCGCGTGGGCCTGCCTACCCCTCGCCCCCCCCCCTCCCCCCGGGCCGGCAGCAGCCAGCGCCGCTGCCCCGGCTGCACTGCCCCGGCGACACGGGAGAGGGGCCC